TGAAACCAGCCGTTAGCCACCTTCTCTTCAGGCTAAACAAATCCAGTGCTCTGTTTCTCTTTTATGACATCTGTTTTAGGTGTCCAGCCATCTCAGTGACCAACCAGACCATGCTGGACTTGCTGCAGTTTTTCAGTGTCTTTCTTGTACTAGGGTAGGGCTCAACACACAGTGACGCAACTGCTCGTACTTTTTGAATCTAGCAGTCCACCCAGCTTGTCACCTGCCTTGTATTCCACCTATCCAGTCTTTATCTCTCCAGTTTGACTGTAAGGACGCTATGGGAGACTATGTTTAGCCATAAAGTCAAGGTTAATCACATCCACTGCTTTTGCCGTGCTGTTTGCAGAGCCACCATTATTGTCAATAGAAGTCAATTGGGTGGTTCAGCATGATTTACCTTTGGTAAATCTGTGCTAGTTGTTCACGATCACCTTTTTGTCCTTCATATGACTTGAAATGGCTTCCAGAAAACTTGTTCTGTAATAATCCCAGACACTGGAGTGAAGATTACAGGCCTGTAGTTCCCAGCATCTTCTTTGTCCTTTGTGAAAGTGGGTATGGCATTTGCCGTTGGGACCAGATTTGATCACCATGTCATTTCAAAGTATTGTATTTCCACTTTTCTTTCAAGATAACAGATGTATGTGTGTGATGTGCATGAAGACACACACACGCACCTCAAACACACCCCACACCCTTTTTGCAGGGAAATACTAGTCAGTGAAAGTCTAAAACATTTCAGAAGTTTGGACCTCTGAAAACTGGACTGAGTTGGATTGTAGAGTTACATGGAAGATACCCTTAAACAAACAAGTCATCTTAGTTATAGATAGAGGTGCATCCAGCTGTGTACTGTTGAACTTGCTGTTTGAATGGTACCCCTGGCCCAGCACCTAATCGTTTATTGACCAACAAAGGTTCAAGAACTAATCAAAATCTGTTTTTGTTGGGGGGTTTTTTGTGTTGTGTGTTTTGTTGTTTTTTTTTTTTTTCTGTCCTGCATCTCCATCAAATAACAGACACTTTAGGAAAAGTGTTTTTAATCAGAACGCTACAGCTGTGTAGTTGCAAGTCTGTATTATGCACGCAACTATAACGTTACATATTTTGTGAGATGAGTAAGCTAAAAAGTAGTAATACCACCTGCTTTTATAGATGATCAAAGCTGAAGGTAATCTGTTTTGATATTTTGCTGCTGCACTCAAATGTTGCAAGAATAGAGGTCCGACTTCTTGGAACAATCAAGTAACAGCTTTGTATTGGATTGTGTTTGGTTCAATTTTGCATTGGTCTGCACTTTTTCTGAGGAATGTGAAATTTTAGTCTACGCTCATGAAGTAAACTGATGGTCAAAGCTTTCTCTGTATCTTTGTTATTAATGTTTACTGTATATTCTAAAAAAAATCAAAACAAACTCCAATCTCACTGAAAAAAAGTCTGTCCTGCTAACAAAACTGCAAATAGTTTCAACTGTTTCAATGGTTCAATCATACATGATTGATCCTCTTGTGAGTCTAGCTAAGTTTTTTAATCCAGCTATTGTTTCAATTATTTTTTCTGGCAATGTGTTTTGTGTATTAATTTGGTTATATAAAAATACATAATCTTTTAAATTTTAGACATGTTTCTATCTATTGATCACATTTTGTGATGGGGTAAGGGACAGTACCTGAATTTATTATTTTGTATGCTTTCCTGAAATTGAACAGCTTTAGTCTTTTTTTTGAAGTTTCATTTCATCTGAAAGTCTTCTACCTCTAATTACTGGTCCCAAACATTTTCTACTTAAGATTGCTTGTATTTTTATTTTTAATTCTACCTCTTTGGGGAAAGCAGTTCAACTGGGCTTGTCATGTTAAGCCTGTTTATAGAATTTGTTCTAAGCTTCCTTCAACTAACTGAAAGCGTGTTGTTATTTTTTATAGTGGTGGAATGTAACTACTGGAGAATCCTTACAAACCTTCTACACGAACGGAACAAACCTCAAGTCGATACATGTGTCTCCTAATTTCAAAGTGTATGTGACCGTTGATAATCTTGGTATTCTTTATGTATTACAGAAGTTGTGATTAATGTGCTGAACACTGCAAAAATAATTCATTTTTTTAAGCTGGAAACAAAATTCTGCTAAATGTTTGTCTGACACTCATTAAGCTGTGAATTACATTATTTCATTGTATTCGTGATGTTTTCAGGTACATTTATGTACTTTTATGCATGTTTTTTCAGATGAACTTGCATTCAATCTTGTTTTTAATAAGCGTTATTATAATCCTTAAGTCTCAATTTGCATCTTAAGTATGTTGCTTCCAATTTTGTAAGGAGATTATGTTAAGATTTATTCAAATTAGTTGAAATTAATATTAATAGCAGTGAAGAAATAATAGGAGTATAATGCTTTGAAATTGTATTTCATGCTAAGGCTGCTGGCTAAATGCTCTGTAGCCATGAACACAACTGTGTAAGATGCAAAAAAAATTCTTTTTACTGTGATGCAAGGATTTTCATTTCATACAGAATGGCAAGAATCAGGGACATCCTTCATTTGAAAAATGAAACTAGCTATCTTGGTGCTTGATGTTCAAAACAAATCAAGTAGCTGTTCAATTTACAGCAGCAGTGCTTCCCACTTGTGGTGAGAACCTTCATGCTTCTAATCTTGTGGAGATAAAGTGCATTGTAACACATATGAGCTGTTCCTGTTAAGGGGAACATCTTGAGTCTTGTTTTCTCAGTGCAAGATCTGAAAGGATATTGCATTTGAAATGGAAGAGAGTGTGCCACGTTTCCAGTCAAAGGATAAATACAGCTAAACTGCAAATGGGAGTGGTTTAAAACCTATGTATTGAAAAATATAAGAAAGTGTGAATTTTAGTTATTTTTCCTTTTGGAATTAGCATTCAGTTTGTACTGTGGAGGCATTTTACTGTTGTCGGCTTTGTTTACAGTGAGATTCTATGCACAGGGATCTCTTGCCTGGTAATATGTGATTTTCTTTTTTATTTTTTAAAAAGATTTTTACAGTCTATTTATAGATTCAATATAGGGTAGAAACGCTAATGTTTTGTACTAATTATACTTGACATATCTTTTGTGAATAATTAGATAACAGTTTTTCTTAGGTACCTAGTAAGCCTTGGTCTAGTAAATTGCCTCTTAGCTGCTATGGGCAGCTGCACAAGCATTAATATAATGATTTTCATATTTTTGTAATTGGCAGTAAAACTCTTCATTTAAGTACTTGATTGTAAAAAGTACATTAGCAAGTGTCTCAACTGATACTGAATAATGAAATTCTTAGTATTTTCCTGGTTTTGACAATCACCAGTTTTTCTTCTTTTTTAACTTGATATTCCACCATTTCTAAGGTGCTGTTGAATACGGGTCAGTGTAATCAAAGTACTTCTGGCAGAAATATAAAGAGAAGAAATTAAATAGAAAAACCATGATGTTTTGTATTCTAAGTATGTACAGCATTCAATAAAGATAATCCAGGTAGTATCAGCCAAAGTTGTAAATGAATTTAAATTGTTGAGCATTTTTTTTTCCACAGGGTGGGAGGGAGGCGGAGTGCTACCTCTTTTATTGTGGTTTTATTTTCAATCTAAATGTAATGCTGCTTTACAAACTACATCAAAATACTTTGACAGGTAAGACAGTATTAAATATGAGACTGGGCGGAGAATGGATCGAGAGCAGC